TCATTGCTGAGGATGGATGACAGTGGATATGGGATGGACATGTACTGTGTCCACTTTTGCTGTTGTTAAACGTCATCATTATAATAGAAAATGCCATGATTGATTGTGGTATAGTGGTAGTGGATAGTGTCTCCGGGCTTTGCCCAGGTACTAGAGGCTGGGACTTAAACATGCCAGTTTTGGAGGGGCCACAATCCTGCCCCTAGCAGATAGAATCCACAGACCTTTGTGGTGTAATGGTTGCCAAGAGGTGTTGAGAGAACCTAGGAGAAGCATTGTGTAACTGTTTCTGAAGCTGGGTAGAGCATCCTCCCTGAGGCCTTTGAAGGCCTCTCCCCACCAGGGCTGCTTGCAGTGGAGGAGGATCCCAAAGGCCAGGTCTTGAGAGGGAACTGAGTCCTAGATAGGCAGTGCTACTCCATTAATACGAGGGACCTGTCACTGTGGCAGGACAGAGAGGCCAGTGTTGCGGACTAAGTGATGGCTGAAGGAGGGAGAAAGAACATGCGGTATGCACTCATTCGCTCCTGGGTTTCTGCCTGGAAGATGGTGCTGAGAGGGAGATGGGAAGAGTGTGGGATCTCACACTCTTCTGTATTCCATAAAATTGGAAAGGAAAATAACATTTCTCACTTTTCTGAACTTACTACCGTAGCCACTTGTAGCAATGGCTGGGTCTAACTTTGTGGCCTGCGTTTGCAGATTTTTGTTTTTGCTTTGTGTTTTAATTGTGACTGAGAGAGAAAGAGTCCATGAATGTGTGCGTATGTGGGAGGGTTTGCAGCTCTGGTGTTCACACCACTGTTGACATTGGCCTTTCTTACAGTTTCCTCAGTCATTTGTTCTCAAATGTAAGAGACATGAAAGAATCAGAATAGCATTTGACACATTCATTATTAGGGGAGATTTTCTCAGTCACATAGTGTTCTGGATTGTTAGGTTTTCCTTCCTCTTTTCTCCCTGTTCTTAAAAAGAGGAGGTTGCATAGTTTCAGAGTTGCATTTTAGGGTTCAGGTTTATTTTTGTCAGCATGCTTTTTACTGCTGTATACACATGTTGGCAATGACCAAATCCTGTGGGTGTTAGTAAAGAGCGTGTTGCTTTGTTCAGTGTCTGGAGCCAGTGTCTTCCATGTGAATAAAGTGTGGGAAGGCTAAAATGAGGCATTTCAGAGCCTGGAGGCTTATGCTGTCAAACATATTTTCCTTTTTATATAAAAGGTAGACAACAGTTAACTCTGTCTTTTGGTTAGAGCTGGGGCATTTTCTCCTGATGTCTTTTACATTCACAGATTGTGAATCTGAAAATTTGAAACCTTCTGGTGCTCAAATAGTTTCAGATTTTGGTATATTTTAAATTTCAGATCTTTGGATCAGGGATGCAAAACTGACAATATCTATGCTGAGATTTCAGAATCTGAAACATTGAGTATCTCCAGGCATTTTGGACAAAGGATACTCAACTTATGTAAGATGTGATTCTGATATATGCCTGTATATCGAGGCTTATGTGCATTACTAGTTCAGCTAGATAATATTCTTCAGCAGGTCTGTGTTGTCATGCAGTCATTGTGAAATGAAAATTATGTGTGTCTTCGTGGACTGCAGCGCTTCTCTGTGCAGCCTAACACTGCTTGGTGTGAGGTGAAAGTTGGCCTTTCAGGGTGGGAAGCACTGCAGGCAGGTGGCAGTGACCACCACTGACCTAACCCTTCTAGATGATCTTTGCAGAGAGAGCATGACTGGCTCTGAAATGGGGCAAGCATGCTGTCATTCTGCCTCCAGGGCACCTGAGGGCTGGTTCCTCAGTGAAGGATAAGTATGGGCTCCCAGGATGCAGTGCAGCTTGATAAGGCCAAGGTCCCACAGTGGCTGTTTTATCACTGCCCATTCTCTGCCAGTTGCCTCGTTTCAGTCAGTCGAGAGAGAGAGAGAGAGAGAGAGAGAGAGAGAGAGCGAGAGAGCCCCTGAGCTTTGTGAAGGGTCACTTTAACCAAGTGAACAGGCCTGCCATCTCTGAAACAGAGGGAGGTCTAATGTCAAGCAGTATCATGCTTATAAAACACACATTCTTGGCCGACATCAGAACAAGATGGCTAACCCTTGAATTAATCCAAGTGACCGAGCTGAACTAAAGCGTGTTAGTTATCAACATCAGCAGTAGGCATCCGCATCAGATCCTAGATTGGAAAGAAGTAGGCCAGGACCACACAGAAGACACTGTAGCAGGTCTTGGGAATTCAAAATGGACTAGATCAGTGCACAGGGGCTTCCTGATACTCAGCCCTGAATCTGAGAGAGATTTGCAGCCCCTGGAACCCAGGGTTGCAATTTGGAGGATGCTCTTAGGAGCTGAGGTAAACCCCGCAGTGCCACACTGAACAAACTGTGGAAAGCCTAGGGGCTGGCTTTAGTTGAGCAAAGGAAAATCTCATTGTTAAGAGGGAATTGGACCTGCCTTTGGAATTTACAGTGATAAAATTTTGTTTTACGGTTCAAATTAAAGTGAAAAAGATACATATGTTATCAGTGTTAACCTTTAAAAAAATTTCTAAGGGAGCCTGCATATTTCCAGTGGAAATGGATTTTTCAAAACAGCACAAACATATCATCCTTTCATATCTTCCTGTTAGTCCTAGCTGACTGTGCTGGAAATCCTTGAATAAATTCTTTGGTGAGGACTTTCTACTCTGCATGTGACCATGTATCTAATAGCTATTAGATAATGTTTTTTTGCATGGCAATGGCTTTAGATCACTGATTATCATTAAGACCTGGTTTGAAAGTTCTTGCTTAATTGAAATTTTGAATAACTTGATAACCTTACCATGTTCTACCAGGGTGGTAGAGAACTTCACTTAAACTCATGGAACCATTTTGGTCACTGTTTATTTCTATTTCTGGGCATATTTATTGTGCTGACAGTTTGCTTGTTTATTACTTTTCTCAAGGAAACTACCGTAGGCATTTCTTACTCTTGATCCCAGTGTGACCACTGGCACCTCGGGATGGATTTTAAGCAGTTCCATCACAGGCACTGACATGGAACCATGGGTTCCCAGCCCACTTCATATCTTTGTTTGGGGCCAGCAGATAAGTTGCTGGCTCTTGGTTCTCTGTGGACATTCTAAGCATTTCTTCCCGTGCTCACCATCAGGAGGAATAAAGGACATGCAAAGGCCAAGGTGAATTTCTTACCCTGAAGGCTGTTACGAAGACCTTTAGTGCTATCCCTGATATGATTTGAATGGTAAATGTCCCTCAAAGGTCACGTGTTAAAGGCTTGGTCTCCAGCCTGTGGCACCATTAGGAGCTGGTGGAACCTGTAGGAGGAAGTTAGATCCCTGTGGCCCAGGTCCCCCCCCCCCCACCCCTTTCCTGGCCTCCATGAGGTGAGCACCTTTGTTCTACCATGCATTCTTCCATGATGTTCTGCCTTGCCACAGGCCCCAAGACATGGAGCCAGCCGGCTGTGGGCTAAATCCTCTAAAACCCTAGGCCAAGATACATCTTTTCCACACAAGCCAATTATCTTGGATATTTTGTCATAGCAATAGGAAGCTGACCAGCACAGTCCCTGAGATGTTAACAGCTCTGTAAGTTCAGGTGCTAATGCCCATCCTGGAAGGCTATATGAAAGATTCAACATCACTCGTCCAAGCAGGGTGAGGGTTGTGTGCTTGTATTTGGACTGCTCAAATGGCTGCACAGATATTCTCTCAAAATGGCATAGAAAAAAAGCCTTACTTTTTCAATTAAAGTCCCTTTTCAATTAAAATCTCCAAAATCCAACTTCTAGAATAACTCCTGAAAATATCAGTACAGAGTTGGGGAAGAGGCATGGGTAAGTGCATAGATAATAAGGCCATTAGTGTTGCATGAGCGGTGAAGCCGTGGATCCTACTCCAGTCCACATCCCAGTGCTCCATTTTCAGGTGCTGACCTCTCATTGTAAGCATGTGACAGAGAATTGTATACGTTTTCTAGTATACATTTAAATCTTAGCGAAATCTAGTATTCTTATTGTATCCGCTTATCCCCTTTTTCTTGCATTAATTCCTATATAGTTTTAAAAGCCATTCAGTTTTCAAGGTGATGCTAGAGACTGCATAAAGAAGGATTCATTTTAAAATAAAAATTTATGAACTTGCCTTGTAACACTTTTATGATACCCCTGCTTGAATTATCTTTTCCTATTTGACTAAAATAGAATTCAATTTTTCTGTGGGGTTTTTAACATTTTTGGGTCATAATCATGCTAGGGATGAATTAATAGATCTTTTCTGAGTGAACTGTCAAGACAGATCCCCTCTGGGTTTGAAATGTAATTAAAGATGTCAATGAATTCACTTGGGAGTCTACAGAACACTTCTAGGTCCCCTAGAAAATGCTAGTTCTGACCAGAAGTGTTTAGCCAAAGGTGCACATAGTGGATGCAGCGGCCAGCCCCATGAGCAAGAGGGAATGTGGCCACCCGTGGTGACTGCTTTCCCCTTAACTTCCATGTAGCTCACTCACTGCAGAGTTCCTGGGGTGGAGCAGGGAATGCTTCTAGCCTAAGGACTAGGACTCAGCCAGTGGCAGTGCCAGAGGCTGTCAGTCAGTGGGGCAGGGATCTGCGGTCTTGCCTCCTTTGCATCTGGGAACCTTCCTTTTGTTTGCTGGTAGTTTTGAGGGATGTGAGCACAGAAAAGAGTTGGAGGCATACGGTAACTAACCACCCTCCTAAACCAGCTGCTCATACTGTGTGTGTGTGTGTCTGTGTCTGTGTGGGGCTTTGTGCACATGAATGTGATGTCTGAAGAGACCAGAAGAGGGTGTTAGGTCCACCAGAAGCAAAGTTACAGGCACTTGTGAGCTGTCTGAACTCAGGGCTTCTGGAAGAGCAGTGCTCTTATGGCTGAGGTATCTCTCCAGCCCTGTTGTACCAAGTTTTTTAACTGATTAATTGAAATCAAACAAGAAAGCATATCTAATGTATTCCTTTCTATTTCTTTACAGATTCCATAGTTTCCTTTTATACAAGTGACATCCCAGATCATACTTTCTCCGTTTGAGGTTTGAATTAGACTCGACTTTGGCGCATCCCTTCAGCCTTGTAACTTTCAAGGTGTCATCAGCCGATAGCACTCAGCTTTTTAAAGAGTTCTGCATTTTGCCCGTCATCTCTTGTCACTGTGTGCCAAAGGTAAGCCTGCAATTCCAAAAAACTGAAAAACCAAAAACCCTGACTATTTTTGCTTTAAATAATTTGTGTAGTAGTTATTGGACTCATAATAAGGCAATAGATGTGGCACTGATTGTTGAACTATGCTTTTAAGGGGCCCGGTTTAAAGACTAGATTGCTGCTGTTATAACTTCAGTGTATGAAGGTTTTAAGTGTGTTCCTCCCATGAGATGAAGTTATAGAACATGATCTAAGTTAGGCTGCCTGCATACTGTGCAGGGACAGGGAGCACTCAGATAGGAGAGTGGCTTTCAGTGTGGTGAACATTGATTCTAGTTTTGGTGCTGAAAGAATAAATTCTCATCAGAAGGAGTACAACAAGCAGGATTTCCAGGAAGGTTTCACAAGCTCGTGTGAGGGATGTTCTCAGTCTGTGTTAGAAGGAAACAATGACTGAATAGACTTGTGCATTTGGGAACTGAGGACTCTTGTAGTAATTTTGGTGGACAAAAACTTGGTTATGTAAAAGAACTCTCTCTCTCTCTCTCTCTTTCTCTCATGTGTGTGTGGCGCTGGGCCTGATGTGTGTTATACACACACTCTGTACCTGAACTATCTGTGTGTGTGTGTGTGTGTGCTAGGCCTGATGTATGTTACACAAGCATTCCGTGCCTGAACCATATCCCCAGACCACAGACCAATCTGCTATCCTTGAGCTGTTGTCTGAGGCATTTGACTTAGAACATGAGTAGCACATTGATGCACTTAGTCTGTTTTCCATCTGGCTGTCAGTAAGAAGGTACATTGCCATTTCACCTTGGAACTGCAGGCACAGCACCCGTCCCACCACCAGCTTTCCCTTTCCGTGCAAACCTTAGTTTTGCTTCTATTATTTACAGATTGTCTTAAGATATTCTTGAATTTGTAGTTTGGGCTCTGAACTCTCTTGGGATAATGATTTCTATAAACTAAGTTTTATAAATTAGAATTTTCTTTCATTTGTTCTGAAGTGGCTTTGAGACACTGTGAAGGTTCTGTTTCTCCTCAGTTGCTTTTTTAAAGCATTGTTTGAAATCTTCTTATGCTTTATGCCTGTTATGTGTGGCTTTTGCAACAATATAGCATTAGTATGCAGTATTTCCTCAGGGCATAATTGTGTGTCCTAGTGTTTTACCTTAATGGTATCCTTAATAATTTCCTGGCAAGGAAATTATTTATTTGGGGTGTTCCTTATGATTGCAGAACTAGGGGCTGGTTTGGACTTGAGAACTGGCACTCAGGCTGCAACTGTACCTGTGGAAGGATGCTGTCATGCTTTCCCTCCTGACCTCATAAGGCTTCCCCAGGCTCTCTTCCAGGTCTTGTACATTTCAGCCTCATGGGGTGAGGTGGAGGTGGGCACCCTGAACTTAGCTGAGTTTGTTCCAAAAGTAAACTCTTCTCAAACTCGTGGTGGCTCTAGGTTGTAGGAATAGCTGTCGGAGTGGAACTTTTTCAGACATAAGTCATTTGTAAATGTGGCCACCTATCAATCTGTTTGTCAGATTTCAAGAGAATATAAGCTAGAAATTACAGCTCATTGGATCTGATCAGCAGAGTTTATTAATATTCATCAGACACAGACTGGCACTGCCTATGAGGACTTTCTTACTCATCAGTTGGCGGTATTGACAGAGTTGGAGCACATTGAGGAGGGGGGAGTTCGCTGGCTCCGTTATGGGCCTGAGCACTCAGTTGGGTATATTACACAGGCCAGGTGGTGATGGAGAGCCAACATGGACTGTTAGGCAAGCACACCTTAAAATATCTGTGCCTGTACAATTTTAGAGGGCTACTTTTATTTCATAAAGGTGTGAGGTCTAGAACAAAAAGCATTTACCTTTGTGATTTTAGGGAAGTGTTCACTGGGGAAATCCTGGGCTGTAGCAGTTATGTGGTAAATACTTACTGTGAAATCAGGCCCCATTCTAGGCCATTTCCCTTGTTATTTTTTAGTGCTATCTTTTAGCAGCTCCAAAACCAGATAAAATATAGTTCCAGACACCCTTTCTCATGTCTTGGCAGGATGGGCTAGACCTATATGATTTCCTGTGTGACTAGAAATCTGTTTCAAAGAATGACAGGACACGTGGGTAGAGACCTAATGGTCCTGCTAGGCACAGAGCAGACTGGGCAGACCAGATGGGAATGGGTCCTAGAGGCTGAGGGAATCAGCAGTGGTGTACAGGCCGGGTATGTGCTCTTAGTAATATTTTGAAGTGGTCAGCTTTATCAACATGCCAGAAAGAAGCAGAGGCAGTGATGTATGGGAAGAACAGTGTGTGGGATGGCAGGCTTGGGGATCCAAGGTATGTACCAGGCCTGCACCTGGGGCTGAGCCACAGGAGCAGTTCAAGGAGGATGGGGATAACTGCACAAGTGCGGCCTCTGAGCCCATTTCCAGGGTTGCATTTCCTTGCCCCGTAGTCTCATCTCATTGCAGTAAAGGAGCAAAGTTTCGGGGTTGTCTCTCCTGTGGCCTGCCCACCTTGGGAAGAGGAGACAGGGAAGGGGATGCTCACACGCCTTTTTACATCTGAGTTCTTGTACTCACAGTGCACACTGCCCTGTATCCCTGCTGTGTGTTCCTGAAAACGGACTGTCATTCCCTGTTGTTGAAAGTAGCTGTTGCCTACTGAGAATGAAGGTGGGGGTGGGGTGGGAGGTTGGACTTTGTACCCTCTGCCGAGGGCTTTTTTTTTTTTTTTTTTTGGTCTTTTGAGACAGGGTCTCCCTGCAACCCCAGCTGGCCTGGAACTCACTATGTAGACCAGGGTGGCCTTGAACTCAGAGTGATCTGCCTGCCTCTGCCTCCCGAGTGCTGGGATTAAAGGCACGCACGGCTTTTTGTTTTTCGAAAAGCTGTTCTTTTGGTAGAATCATAGCTGCTTAATGGCAGAAGGATTTGGGTCTAATAGGGAGGAAAGATAGTGGCTTAGGTGACAGGACTTAAGGGCTAAGCAAACAAGACCTAGATTTCCCCACCCTGTAGGTTGCTGCTAAGAACCCCTGGGATGTAAATGACCACTGGGTTGCTGTCTGCATCACTTCCACTGCACAGGCACTACAGTGGCTTTGTATAATTGAGCAGGAGAAAATGTCATGCCAAGCCTGTCTGTCACCCATATATTCCTAAGACCAGTAACATTTCTTTTAATGAGGACAGGTTCACTATTTACTTTCATCTTATTCTCAATTTATATAAAAGCAACTATTCCCAGAGTCTGCATTAGTCTGTTTTACATAACTGTAACAAAATACCTGAGGCTACAGAAACATTTATAAAGAGTAGAAGCTTATTTAGCTCAAAGTTGTGGAGGTTCCATTGTGATGGCCTTGCTGGCAGAGTCCCAAGGCTTTGTATGACATGTCAAGCACATGCAAGAGATGGGGGTGCATATGTGTCTTCTGGTTTCTTGCCCTCTTCTTTAAAAACCACTAAAATTTATGTATGGAGCTGTACCCGATGATGATCCTATCTAATCCTAATCAACTCAAAGTGTCATAATTAAACTTGAGCCTCCTTACTACCTCCTAATGGAGATTTCAACACAGGAGCCTTGGAGGACCCTCAAACCACATCTAGACCATAGCAGTACAGTTAGAGAACTTGCCTGGAATTTCTTCTCCTTGTGTTTAGCATGACCCAAGTTGTGGCATTTGGGAGGTTGCCTTACTGTCTAAAGCTCAGGAATTACTTTCTACAGGTGAAGCTCATTGCTTAGTCCTTAAGTCTTTAGACTGCAGCTAGGGCTGGAGTTGTCTGATACTAGAAGTGAGTCCAGAGTGTGGTCTCTGCAGCTTGGGCCAATTCCTTCTTCCTTTCCAGGTTGGTTCCTAGGGCCAAGAAAACATTACAACCTCAAATGTTCCAAGTTTCATAGTGGCTAGAGCTGTAATAATTGATTTAATTATTGATTAAATAATTGGCCCTAGTAAGCAGTGACAGTTACTTAATAAAAAAACAAAACTGGCAGCCTTACCTCCAGCACAGTTGCCCTGGTGGTGTGGTTTTGGAAGCAGCAGAAACCTATTAGTAGGTGCCTGACATAGGGCTTGTCCCCACTGGTGTGTCTCTGGCCTCAACTGCAGATATATTACCCCATGTGTGAGATAGGTTAGCAGTTGGATCAAGGTCTGCTGGGATCAAGCTGGGCTTCTGTCCCCTCCCAGTGCTGCCATTTCTGACATGTCCTGGAGATGACATGGTGACAGCCATGTCTGCATGCTCACCTCGAACCTGTACTCCAGGTTCTCAGAGGTAAGCAGCTTGGCCAAAGCTCAGAACATAGGTGGCTCAGGCATCTGGTGCTCCCCTCTTCCCGTCCTTTCCTCCTTACTACATCAATTTCCTTTGCTTTGAGGTCCCCCCACCACCACCTTTGGTAGAAAAATCTTCAGCCATTAAGTAGGATTTGAAGAATCTTTTTCAAAAGTAGTGTGAAAGGAATGGAGGGGACAAGGGCCCTGGTGGCAATTCTGAGTGTTCCAAGGCAAGTTTGTAGCCTCCTAGCCCTACAGCCCCCTGTACCTTGGTCATGCTGAGGGTCACCTTGGACTGTAGATACTGACTTAGGATCAGACCTGTCATAACAGAAGTTATCCACAAAGGTGACAGGGCCTCTTGTCTAATAGCTACTTCCTGTGTGCTGGGGCTGCCTCTGGTCCCTTCCATAGAGCACTGCCATTCCATGAACTTTCTATGCTGTATAACTTTTCTGTGTGGGGTCAGTAGAATAACCACTTTCTTATGGTTGAGGTAATGATAAAAATTAAGCCGCATTCCCCTGTGTGCACCCCTCCCCCCATCTTTGCTAATATGTTCCTGCACTATAGCTTTCTAGAAAGCGAGAGAGAAAATTAAAAAAATAAAAAGAGCGAATCTCTGCTTATCCCCACCTTCTTTGTCCATGACAAATTACAGAAACCAGATACCTAACATTCTGCTTTGTTTTAAACTAAAGTAGTCCCCTCTTATCTGA